TTGTTCCTTCAAAAATATAGATATGTGTTTTCTTGTTTAATTTTAGGCTTGTACTCGACCAAAATAAATTTTACTAGCAATTTCCCCAGAGAAGCAATGATGATAATTACCGTTGGAAAAAAAAAGTCCAATGTTTTAAATTACAGTTACAAATCATATTTTTTTGCTTTTAATTTTCACCATATTGTACAAATACATGTAATTTTTCTTATTCTACATAGTTTGCTATAAAACGCCTTAGGGGTCTGATCGGTTTATCAATTCAATTAGAAGTTGCCTTGATTAACATCAACTATTATCTATTATAATGAGCATCATGATGCCATCTAATTAAGACGAAGAAAGTGCTTGGAATTTTCCAAACCTATTGCCTACATGCATAAAACCAAAGACAAAACAAAATAACAAAAACAAAAACCGCCGGAACAAAAAGCTGTCTGATTCCAGTCAGCGTAGAGGCATGACCTCCCTGCACTGCACAAAACTCTGCGAGGCTCATCTGTGTGATGACGCTGAGTGAGCTGAGGCTCAGTGACATCCATGAGCTCTGTTTGGAGAGTCGAGAGAGGGAGGGAGGTTGAGATGGTAACCTGCTAGTGTTGATCACTGGACTCAACAGTGAAATAACGCACAGGGGAAGGCTTCCTATCCTTTCATTACAAAGGTCCCTAAACTAATCCAGTGGGGTTGTCGATGCTCCTTAGGTGTCTTCTCTGAGTCCGAGAGTTGGCTGAGCCAACAAAAAGCCTGCCTCAAAAGCAGGAGAACCTGAACTCGTGCCTCAGAAGTGATGTGGAAAAGCCTGGCATGGTGATGCACGCTTGTAACCCTGGTGCTGGAGAGGTGGAAACAGGTGCATCCCTGGGGGCAATGGAAAAACCAGCCCAACCTGACTGGGGAGGACAACCTAACTGAGGCAAAGACAGTGAAAGACCCTGTCTCAAAAAGCAATGTGGACAGATCCTGGGGTACAAGACCCAAGGTTGTCTTCTGGTCCACAGGTGTGGACATACTCATACATGCACACATGGTACAGGAGAAACCGGGAGTAATAAATTGACATCACAAAGGATCTACTAAACTTCTTTAGGAATTATTAAGTCCCACAAGGTAGAATTTAGCTAAAGCAGTGCTCAAAGGAGGAATGTGCTAGCTAGACCCGTTAGAGACTACAGGAAGGAAGCTGTATCTCTAACACCATCCGACTTTAGGTCTGCTGAGCAATGTTTCTGTGAGGATTTGTTCACTAAGATTGCCACCCATTAGGACCCACTCCAATATCAAAGAGCATGACCTACTGGGCAGCCCAGAGGGCGGGGCACTAGGGAACAGCCACCATTAAGTCCTGGTTTTCTGATCAGGAAGGGAATAATTCTGCCAGGCAGGAAAGAAGACGCAGAGTAACAGCTACCTGAAAAGAACACTAGTCAACTCCAAAAACAATTGTGACGGTTTCTTTGACGTGTGGATCTTCCCACTTTGGTCTGTTTAGAGATAACTAAGATGGTGTCTCTGTCATGTAAATAAATCTCCTATTTGTCCAAAATGGTCCCTCTTGCAGTTTCTGCCTCTGTAGAACACACTTAACTGATCAAAGTGAAAGCTTGGAGCTGGGACTTAAAAGAGATTCACAGACGACAATGTATGTAACATGTACGCAACATATAATGTAGCTCAAAACCTATATAAGCTACAAAGAATTTCTTTGTGATGGACCCCCAATGTGCATACACACACACACACACACACACACACACACACACACACACACACACAGTAACACTGTCAGATAGGCAGAGCATCCACACATCACCACTTTCCATTTCCAGAAGGTTCCAGGAGACTCTGAGGAACTCTGAAAGGATCTCTTCATGACTGTTGCAACGCCCTTAAGTAAAACCCTCAATTGCTGCACACTCAGTCAGGGGACAGTTCTGGAATTACTACAAGAGATGATTAGATGATTCCAGTGGAAGCCTTTTGAAAAGCAAAAGAATCATTCTAGAAGTCTGCCTGACCTCTAAATAAATAATCCAACTGGATGGGTAGACAGTACTAATGACTAACCTACTCTCCTTGTTCCAATTGTAGGTGGAGAAGTCTGAGACTAAGGGACAGGCTAGTCCTTGCTTCGGTGAGAGTGCCCTTCCTGGTGTGCACACAGCAGTCTTTTCTCTATACCTTCCATGACAGACAGGGCTCTGATGTCTGTTCCTCCTCCTTTAAAAGTATTATTCCTATAGGATTAGACTCTGCTCTCCTGGTCTTAATTCCCTCCTTATTCCACAAGCAGAAATTAGGGGTCCAGTCTAGGAATTGTGGAGTGGAGTAAGGAACACACTCAGTCCTTAGCAAGTCGATGGTCAGTTCAGAAGTGGCTCCCAGGATACATACTTTTGTAGTTTTTAGCTATGACAACATCAGATTCTTTAAAGGTTTGTACATGTCGGGGAGAGACTTAAAACTGTCATCTGTGGCTTATGGAAGTTGATTATTTATTGAGTGCAAAGCATCCTGAATGTGAATGAGGAAAATGTAAAGAGAAAGTATTTTATGCCGTTATGTAACTGTAATAGTTCTCTGGGTTGTGCCCGAGTGTCCTGACTTCTCCCACAATTCTGCTGTGTTTTTGCCTCACTGACCTTCCTCCCAGCCTGTGGGCATTAGCATTTTAGGATATGTGCAGGCTCAGGAGGCTATCTGAGTCAAGAAGAGTAGATATTTTCAGGGATCTCTTATTCCATTTGCAAATTGTTATTACATAAAAACTGTGTTGTAGACAACTGGGCTTGTTAGTTCCAAGTACTTTTCCTGCACTTTCTTGATTTGCTGCCATAGATGATGCTGACCTCACATGCAAAAGCTTGATTGCACCTACAGATACACACATCTTGCTGGACTGAAGTTTAAAAGTTTGAAGTATTTCATCTTATTGAAGGATAAACAGAAATATTTGTTTCTGTTATTCTTTTGATTATAAAACTTGGATTGAATAAAAAGCTGTTTGGGACCACTTTCTGAGACTGACAATATGTTTTTCTGCCATGTTGAGTTTTGTTGTTTTGGTTTTTGTAGGGGCTTTTTGTCCTCTTATTTGTTTGGAGTCCAGGTCAATTCTAAAACCAAAATCATTAGGCAGTACAATTCTGGTGTCTGGGGGAGGGTGCATGTCTATATATGTACACACATACATGCATTTGCTCAATGGTAGTATAATCCAATATCTATGTTCAATCCACACCATCTATTGAGAACAACAGTTGGAGCCAATGGTATCGCTTGAGTGCTGACGTAGACTTTTTAATGACAAACCCAAATGCCACTCAGCAGAACCAACTCTGAGCTGCTCTACTTGTCACAGAGGAGCAGGTAAAAAGGGACAGCTCTCTGGTGCACAATAAAGATGGAAGGCAGTATTTGGACAATGGCTGTTCTTTTCCCCTTTGAACACACTTCCTTTCGTGAGTAGTCAGTGTCAGATGCCAGGCAGCCATATTTACACGAAAAGCCATTGCTAACTGTAGGGTGAATTCAACTCCATGTCTTGAGGAAGGAGTGTTTAAGAAGAAAGGAATCTATTCTGTGAATCTTGCCCTTACTCTCACCCTTTACAAGTTGTCCTGGCCATGGCCATTAAGCATAGCTCACCCACACCTTCCTTCCATTGCAAACAAAAGGAGCACCATGCTGTGTTGATGAGTCCAGATGCAGAGGTGGAGCTGTGTTGTTCATTTCTCCAGTTGTGGATGAATAAACTATAACCAGTTAGAGAGATTTTGAACACCAAATCCATTTGCCTGGTCAAGACACATACAATTTAGAAAAGTATGTCTGTGTGTGCATATGTATGAGATAATGAAAGGCAGACAAATCCAGAAAGATCTGATGGACACAAGGAGCGACATCTTTGTGATGCTCAATTTTATTAAAACTTCGTGCAGAAGGCAGAGAAACATCAGAACATAGGTTACATGAAACCTCTGAACTCAGCTACTATGTGAATTTGTTGACTTTATGTAATGTCTTTTGGACATGAATCCATTAAGATAATGATATGATTGGTAATGATATTATTTAATTTTTTCTCCAAATCAATGACTGCCAAAAAGGAAAGATGATTGGAGGCAGAAAGGCTTCCTTTAAGGTCTCCTGTTTGTCATTTTATCTGCAGCTAAACATATCTTTTTTTCCCATGCTCAACAAATTCTGAGAGAGCTTTTTAAATTTTAGATAATACCAGACTTCAGTGCATGCTCAATAATTGGTTGATGAATGGGTTTTCAAACTACCATTTTGATGCCTGCATATCATTTGGATAGGAAAAAATACAAATTCGCATGTAATGATGCAAAGCTAGATGATGATTGTATTTTAGAAGGAGACTCAATGATTCTTACATGTTAACAAGAAAACATATTTTGTTTACCCTCTGTTAGACTCTTTAGGGAAAGACATGATTTATAAGATCCTCTTCAAATATGGTGTCATCTTTTGGGGGTAAAATTCAGAACAAACACATCATAGTTATGGAAATGAAAGCTGAAACACCAGAAATGAATATTGCTTTTTTTCCCCTTCAGGAATACAGGATCAGAAATGAAAGAGAAGTGAGCAACCATGCTACACCTAAAACTTGTCACTGATACAGCAGTTCTGGGCCTGTGGGCCGGTACACTCAAACAGCTTTGGGAAGGAGTCCACAGCGTTAGGGACCCAGGCCTCTGATGGTGGAGTTCGTATCTATGTTAATACTGTATAGTTCGTAGCAGCAAGTACAGCATCTATACAAAAGATTGAGACTGAACACTTCATTTTATATCAAGCATAGCTGGAGGGGAGGGGCACATCTGTAATCTCAGCATTTGGGGCACTAAGGCAAGAGGATGGTGAATTCAAAGCCAACCTTAAACTACACAGCAAAGCTCTGTCACAATCAATCAATACATCAATAATAAATTACAAATAAATAAAATATCAAAAAAATCAAGGAATGAACAGTCTACTCATTAACATCATGAAATAGTTTATTATTCAAGTGCATTCATTTCTTCTCATATGTAGGGCTTTTTTATAACTATTTCATCTTCCATTTTGCTTCATGACTTAGAAATGCTCACTAAAGGGTAATGACTCCAATCAAAAGTGATCAGCTACTCATGACTGCTCACACACAAGCATTTATGTACTTCAGAACCACAGCAAAGGGATGGAGGATTCTTTCACAGAGAGTATTCTGCCCATATGGGATGAATCACTCTCATAATCCCAGCATCTCAGAGAATGAAACAGGAGGATTACTCTGAGTCTGAAGCTAGCCTGGCCTTGAGGGTGAGACACTGAAAAGAGAGAGACAGAGAGCACACACATTTGTAGATGTTATCTGGAAAAACTTTGAGGAAGTTCATCCAACATCTGCTATTTAGAGCTGATCTCCAGATAGCTCATCTCTATCCCCTTGTCAGGATTCAGAGGCCTGGAGTGCTAATATAAATCCATATGATTATTGCTGGGAGTTCTGGAGAGGGGGAAATCAAGCACAAAATGGCTAGCTGGTCTTGTATCTGGGGCAGAGCTAGTCCTTGAAGATACTTCATCTACCTGTCCTCATGTGGTAGAAGGGGCAAACAGGCTTCCTCGGGTCTCTTCTCAGGGGAACCAATGCCATATATAAGGAGCCTGTCTTCATGACCTAATCTCCTCCCAGAAGTCCCACCAGATGACATCATTAACTTGAAGGTTAGGATTTTAACATGGGGCTTCTGGAAAGACAAAGCCACTCAGAGCAAGCATCCCAGCCTTGATCTCCCAAACTTACATCTTTCTTGTTTATAGACTATGATGGTGTTGTCTGTTTCTTAAACTTGCTTCAGCATCAACTGAGAAATTGGCATCCCAAGTGTCATCCAAATGTGACTGAAGATGGGTACAGCTGAAACTCGAGGTACACCTCTCCCTGAGGGTCTGTGAAGCTAAACATGGTACATGCTCTCAACTGCAATGCTAAGACTCTGCCAGGACAGGCACTCCCCATCCCAAAAAGGAAAGACGGAACACAAAACTTATAGGACAAAATGTTGAACCTTAAAGCTGTGACTCAAAGTCCCTCCTCTGGAAGCTTGGTGGGTAGGAGTCGGACTGTCAACCCTCCAGGTAACTCAGCCCCATCACATCACTTACACAGCACAACCATGTGACGATCTTTGTGTTTGAAGCCCCAGGCCTGAACTCCTAGATGGTAATTACATGCTGATGGCTCTGTAGCTCTGAGGATTTTTACAGAGTTATCCCAGGTGTTTCCAGGAGTTGAAGGACCCTCCATAATGATCCATCCCTGTGTCATCCCTCTGCCTCAGTCTTGAACCCCTCCTGGGTATTCTTTGACATCTTGGTGGAAGAAGCCAAACTTCATAGCTCATCAAGACCTGGTACCATGTGAAATCACCCCACAGCCTCCATCTGAAGACAAGTGTGGAACGACCATGAGCACTCCTGCAGTGCAGACTTAAGATTTTTGATAATTCAGATAGAGAGCTCTGGGGTCCTGGAGGTACCCTGAGCTTCTCATGCTTCAGGATCTGGCACTTTGGGCCAGTGATTAGAAGGGCGACCTTGATGATTTCCTGGATACCTTCAGAGTCGCTCTTCCATCATCTTGACAGACAGCTTATGGCCATCTGTGAGGACCTCTTGTCCACTCCTGGGCACTATATACCAACACCAGCCTCTGCTGTACTATGTCCAGGCTAAAAAGTTTCCAGGTCTTTAAACACTGATTCCCTTTTGATAATAAACTCACTTTTGGCTCTCTTCCCTCTTTGAATCTATAAGCAGTCAAGAGAAGCCACGCCAGATTCTCAATGTTTTCTATCTCAATTTCGATATTCCTTCTACCCAAGAGCCAGTGTTATCATCCACAAGCTCTACCTCCTATCCAACAGTAGGACACAAACCTACTTCAGACAAGTTCTCCTGAGCTTTGCAGCCACATTGCTTTGTTTTCCAAAAAAAAAGTTCTTCAATTTTTAATTCCATCTGTGACCCCATGGGGCCGCCTTTCCCTGTATCTCTACCATTGTTCAAACCCAACCACTTAGGCCGTCACTAAGACGGTTTGCTCTACAGCTCCCTTCTCTGAAGCCTCCCCAGAAACATTCTTACTGTTCCAACCATGACCATGTAGGTTTTTATTCTTCATGCAGTTTCATACCCCAACCTCTCCCTATTACAAAGTTCCACTGCTGCTCCTCTTTTGGAGAAATTTCTTTTAGAAACGTCTCTCTTAATATAGAAATGGAAACAAATTCCAGCTTAGTCTGTAGGTGCTGCCTTAAGAGATGCCTTTGATGGACACAGGAAGACCATGATTAAGGTACCAGAAGACTGAGTGTCTGCAAGAGCCTGTTTCTCAGAGAGGGCAGCTACTCTGTGCCTTCACATGGTGGGAAAGGGAGACCATGCTCCCTTAGTTTAGTGTCTATGTATGTGTGTACATATGCTTGTGTATGTCTGCATGTGTGTACACATGTGCATAAATGTGTGTGCACACATGTGTATGCTTGTGTGTATGTATGTTGTTCACACGCCTGTTGTGTATATGCATATATGTCTGTGTACATCTACATATGTGTGTGCATGTGTGTATGTGTGTGAGTGTGTGCATGTGTGTGCATACATGTGTGTATGTGTGTGTATGTTTGTCTGTTTGTGTGCATATGTGTGCCTGTGTGTGTATGTGTATGTTTATGCATGTCTGCATGCATGTGCATGTGTGTATTGTGTGTATGTCTTTGTATGTCTGCATGTATGTCCATGCACACATGTGTTTATATGCATATGTGTATATGTGTGCATGTGTGTGTGTGTGTGTGTGTGTGTGTATACATACCACAGTGTATCTGTGACAGAGGACAACCTAAAGAAGTCAGTTCCCTCCTTCTATCACACGGTCTCTGAGGATCAAGCTCCGATAGTCAAACTTACCTGCTGAGCGATCTCACTGGCTCTTAGGCCTCTTTTGTACAAACAACAATTCCATTCATAAGAGAGGAGATCTCTCAATACCGCCATGTTGTGGAGATGAACGTCTACCCCAGACACACAGGACCCAACAGGCAGCTCAGTGTTGGCAAGAATACAACCTGTTTTTTTGAAATTATTTTATTTTTGTGATCATTCCCTTCACCTGTTCCTTAACATGTTCAGTGTTTGGTCCTGCATTTGTCACACACCTGGTCTCAGTCATTTTGTTAAATGACTAAATGATACAAAAGTGTAACTTAGTCTCTTAAATGTTCTATGAGCTCCAACGAGGACATAGGCAGAGTCCTGGAAATAACTTCCCCTATGTTGACAGTGACACTTCTTCCATATAAATTACAAGCAAACAGAGTGAATCCTTGGTTGTTCATGGCATCCAGGTTGTGCTACTGGGGGTGGGATCCAGGGCCATGCACCTGGTAGGCGAGTGCTCTGTCACTCAGCTGTAGATTTGCCGCTTTGTGGCCTGGATGTCAATCCTATTAGATCTAAAATATGTAAACTAAAAGAGCAAATTACAGAAATGAGAGGAAATGATGTCAAGGGTTCTGTGGGGTACTGATTTTTGCAATGACATCTTGCAGGTGTGTGTGTGTGTGTGTGTGTGTGTGTGTGTGTGTGTGTGTGTGTGTGTCCATCCATGCACATGCACACATGACTGTGCCAGCTGGGGCTGTAGCTCAGTTGATGAAGTACTTGATTGTATGCACAAAGACCTGGGTCCAGTCTCCTGTGCTATATAAACTGGGTGTCACCCTAGCTCTCAGGACACAGAGGCAGGAAGATCAGAAGTTCAAGGTCATCCCTGGCTGCATAGTGAATTCAAGACTAGCTTGGTGGAATCCCTTCTGAAAAAAAAAATGTATGCATGTATCTATCTGCACTTGAAACATACACACTCCACCCTGAACATGTGCACACACGCTGAGAGTCCCTTGCTCTCCTGTTGTGTGTCCAAGCCTCCAGGAGGGAGCCCCTGTCATATGGTTCTCATCTAGAGCAACATTTACAGCATTGGTTAAGTGCTGAGCGCAACATGAACACTTAACAGATACTAAAAATGGTTTTTTAACTTTAAGAGAGAAGAAGTTTAGAAATCCATTCCCTTTTAAAGGCTTTAAAGTGGCATAAAAATTCAAAGGCCAAGAGGCCCTGTTTGGTTAACCAGAGCATCCTCTAATAAAAACCTTGGGATGCTTGGCTGAAACAATAAGGGGTGACATGGTAGCTGGGATGAGACAGTCCGAGCCCCCAGTGTCCCAGCAGCACACTGCTGGGGCGTATTTCTCTAAATAAATCCAGAGTGGTCTAGTGTCTCCTCGTGTCTGCCATTCTCCACAGAGGACACAGAAGAGAAAGACTAGCCACTCAAATTTACCTGAAAGACAGAAACTTTCTTGTGGATTAGTTTATAAGCAACAAGAGACAGTCACTGTTGGAAGAAGTTGAGAGAAGATGAGAGGGAAGGACTGAGAGGGAGGGATGTGGTGGGAGTTGGAGGGGGGGAGAAGAAACAAAGATACCTTGTATCTGTGGATTCACTGCAGACCACAGTTCTGGCTTTCCTCATCTCAGATCCACTTAGTGGGTGCTTAAAAGGTCCGGAAACACTGCTGTAGTCAAAGGAGACAGTGTAATCAAGAGAAGCTTCTTAGTCTCCTTGTTCAGAGTCCACAGATGTTTCAGGAGATTTCAACACACACACACACACACACACACACACACACACACACACACACACACTCACTCACGCATGCACGCACGCACACACGCACGCACGGCCGAGTTCAGGACTAGGAAGGAAGGCTGTCTACTGATTTATGTGCATGCGCACAGGGCTATGCAAAGTCCCTTCTCAGTAACAAAGCTGTTGGAGCTGGAGAGATGGCTCCATGTTTAAGAGCAATTGCTCTCTTGCAGAAGATCTAGATTGGGTTCCCAGCACCTGCATGGCTTATCACGACTGTCTGTAACTCCAGTTCCATGGGCCAATACCTTCTTATTGTCCTTGTAGTCACTGGGAGCAGGTGGTACACAGATACATATGCAGGCAAAACACGCATATACATAAAATACAAATAAATAAGTCAATCTGTTTTTAAAAAGACATCCATAGCTGTTATGGTTTGGATCTTGAAATGCTCTCCCAAAGGCCCATATACAAAAGTTGGGTGCTATGGTGCTATTAAAAGGTAGTGGGATTTCCAGGCAGTGGTGGCACGGGACTTTAATCCCAGCACTTGGGAGGCAGAGGCAGGTGGATCTCTGTGAGTTCGAGGCCAGCCTGGTCTACAGAGTGAATTCAGGATTGTCAGGACTGTTAAACAGAGAAACCCTGTCTCAAGAGAAAAAACAAAAAAGGTAATGAACATTTAAAATGTAGACTCTCATGGGAGGAAGTTAGGTCATAAGGGGTGTACCCTTGGCGGGGGCTGGGGAGAGATATAAGAATCCAAGTCCCTTCCTATGTCTCCTTTTCCCAGCCTCTACAGGAGTAGTTACTCCTCTCTCTCTACTATGCGCTACACTCCTGTTCCTTGGTACCGACCCAAAACACAGGGGTCGACAGAGTCTGGATTGACACCTCCAAAACTGGGAGCCAAAAATAAACCTTTCCCTCTTTTAGATAACTTTTCTCAGGCATCTTGTCACGGCGATGTGGCGATGGAAATGGGACTAGCACAACAGCCCTTGAAGATCCAGGGTTAAGAGGAAATAGCTTGATGGCACTTCTGAGGAGGACCTGACCAGCTACTCTGTACATGTACATGAAGTCATCCTCACTTAACACCAACGTTCTGATGCGACACAGAGAGGGCGGGCTAGAATCGACTGGTTTACAATTAAGGGATTTCTCGGCATGCCTGTTGTGATGTCACCTCTTTTTAAGGTCGTGCTCTGCTTCTCCTAGGCTGAGCATTCCACCGGGAGAAAGCAGAAAACTCAGCCCAGGAGGAGACTGAGGTAGAGGCTCTGGGTGGTACTGCCCGTCTTAACAGCAGCCACAGTAAAATGTCCTAGCAGGCTTGCTATCCAGGGGCAAGGTGGACAGGCAGAGGAGGTAACTTCAACTCTACGTGGCGGTGAACTGCCAGAAAGACTGCCAAGAAGAGAGGTGGCAGTATTGAACCACTTCTGTGCTGACACAGCGCCATACATACCTCCCACCCACACACCACCACCACCACCGCTACCATTCTCTTACTCAACACCTGCTTCGAAGGAGGAGGGGGATGGGGTGGGTCATAGGTGGCAGAGTAAGCAAACTTCACCTCCTGCCCACTGGCCGCCTTGATTGCCCAACGGTAGTTCAACTTATCCTTGCTGTGGAGTTCACCACAAGGCTGGCTGATCGACCAGGGGAATTCGCTTCTTGGAGTTTTCCACTCTACGTGATTTTTTTTTTTTTTAATTTTTATCCCTCTTCTTTTTTCTGTCTTTCTCCAAACTTTGAAGATAATGAGTCTTAAGCATTTGCAAGTAATTAGAAGGTGTGGTTGCCAAGCAAAAGCGAGTCGTTTTCTTTTAAATGGAGAGAGTGGGTTGCCTCGCTCATCACACGGCACCAATTAGGTCCCATGTGCCCATTACTTCTCCGATGAACTGATCTGGCTCTGGTGGGGAAGCCACACCTAGGAAGTAATGAGCCCCTCCTGCAACAATAGCAGCCATTAAGAGCCCAGAAACCCGGTGTCATCATGACTCAATTATTTATCATTTTCTGACATCGTCAGCCTTCAACTTGCTTTTCGGTTCATGAGTGACGGCTGGGAGAGCACCACATATACCATGACTGAGAAGAACGGAGAGTTAAAAAATACAGCAGTCTCTCTCTCTCTCTCTCTCTCTCTCTCTCTCTCTCTCTCTCTCTCTCTCTCTCTCTCCTTATCTGTTAAATAGATAAGGAAAATAAAGCCACAGGGCTGGGACGATGGCTCAGTGGCTGAAAGGTTTGCTGAACAAGCATGAGGAACTGAGTTCAGATCCCACGACCGCATATAAACATCCGGGCATGGTGGTATGTACCTACAGTCCCAATGCCGAGGAAGCCAAAACCCGTGAAACTCAGGGCCCGACTAGCCAAATCAGTAAGCTCCAGGTTCAGTGAGAGACCAGGTCTCAAAAACATGGAGAGCCACAGAGGGAGACACCTGACAGCAATACCTGCCTTCCTGAGTCCGTTGCTGTGCGCGCGCGCACGCGCGCACACACACACACACACACACACACACACACACAGAATAACTAAATAAAGCATGGTCTCGTTCACTCTTAGTAGTTTTCATAATGTACATACGAAATGCAAGGCTGCATACAATTTGAGCTCTGAGCAGTTCTTCATTTCCCACTGTTAACTAGGAAAGGACTAGAATGGCTGAAAAAAGAAAATAGGTAAATAATTGACCACTGAGATAATCACCTTCACCAGTAAGAACTATCCAATAGCTACTCTCCAGAGCAAAAGACAATAATAATAATAATAATAATAATAATAATAATAATAATAATAATAGTTTGGCTCAGTCAACCGTTCTTGCCTTTGATTGCTAAATTTCTCCGAGTCAGGAAATGATCAAAAGTGATCATAAACAAACATATATCAGAAAAAGGCAAAAATCATCTTACCCCACTGAGCTAGACCTAAGGCCTTCCAATAAGCCCCTCCCCTCCTTCCCTCCCCTCATCTATCTGAGATCATTTAACCCAAAGCCTTCATTTTATGAGAGATAAATTTAGGCACAAAAGAGACTGAATGGCTTAAGGCCACAGTCACTTCACACACATTTCAGGCTCTGGTCCCAGGAGCAATCAATGATTACTGTCCTTGACTTCTCCCAGCTCTGGACGCCACCAGCAACCTGCAGGGGCCTTTGCTGCCCAGGGAACCAACCTAGAAAGCAAGGGTGTGAAGGAAAGGCCTCCGGAGGCCTCCGGAGATTCCTCTCCAGGGTTGGTTTCAGTTTTGTTTACTTTGGGCTGCGTTAGGGGTGGAGCTCAGCACCTTGGGCAAGCTGGACCAGTCCTCTACCCGTGAGCTGTACTCCCAGATTCTCGGTTCTCCTTTGGAGTACATAAAAGAAATGTGGGTGTTGGGAAATGATCAAAGCAGAAATTTCTCTCTTTCCTCTGATCGAATAGGTCATATGGCATGTTAACAGGCAAGTCAACAGAGGTGGTTCACCTGTGCTTAGGACCTTAAATTGTTTTTAATGTCTTCTAATCATCTCCTTGGGGGAGATACATATACGTGTGTGTGTGTGTGTGTGTGTGTGTGTGTGTGTGTGTGTGTGTGTGTATACATACATACATCCTCCTTGGGAGATATATATATATATATACACACACACACACATCCCATTTAAATAATCCACTCTTCAAGACAGAAGGATGTTGTCAAATAAGAGGCTGTGGGGGTGGAAGAGGTAGACACTTGGCTGTTTTTACTTCATATAGTATTGGAAGAAGACAGGGGCAAGACTTGGGTGTCAGTTCATCAATCCCAAAGGTACCCAAGGACATCCCTTCCTCCATCCTTGAAGGACAGATACCATCTCCCTTGAGAAGCAAGAGAGCATGAGTAGTTAGCAACACTGGATTATTCTCTTCAGAGTTCTAGGGAGAAGAAGCCAAAGGCTTTGAAGATAAATAAGTCATTTAGTAAAAAATGCCTAGAGATGGAAATCACAGCTTTCTGGACTTGGGGGAATCACTCAGTTGGTTAAACAAAAAGCTGGCCATGTTAGCATGAGGATCCAAGTTTGATCACCACATAAAACGCTTGGTGTTACAGTATATGTTTGTGGCTGTAGAGCAGGGGTGGTAGAGACTGAAGGATCTCTGGGCTCACTGGATAGCCAGTCAGGGCTGATTGGCCAGGGCCCCATGCCAATGAAAGACCCTGTTTTACACACACACACACACACACACACACACACACACACACACACACACACACACACACACGTGCACCCACACACATGCATTTACACATATATACACATACCCACGTGTACACAAACACACAAGCCCAGTTTCCTAAGTGTACATATTATTCACATGTATTTGCTCAGTTTATCCTCCTATCACCCCTATGACATAAGAAATGTTACTAAGGCCACATATCAGATGAGGAAACTGAGGCACAGATGTTAGACAAGAGGTTAACAACTAGTCAGTGCTGATCAGGGCATCGAAGCTCTCTCTGCATCTTTCCACACTAGCAGACAGGTTTGACTCAGACCAGAGAACACTGAGGTGGCATCCTTGGAAAAGAGGGTTGACAGAAGCCCCTGGGGCCTCCTCTTTCCAATGCTCTCACCTGCTCACACCCTGATCTAAACTAGGTTTGAGAAATCGGATGAGACTGGATGCCTACAGGGATGGAGTTCTTGATAGATGGTATGCATGGAAAGAGCTATGGTCTAATCCTGATGCCAATTTATTAAGAACAAACACAGAAGTCTTTCCCCTGGGGGATTGCCTCCTTGCTCTTAGACTCTATTGTCGGGAGCTCAAGCATTCCCTACAAAGATTTAAGGATTGGCTGAGTTGTCCTCACTTTTGGGAGGTGACTTGGATGCTGAACACTGTACTAGGGAAGACAAGAGCGTATGCAATGCCCACAAGCGCAGGAACAGCTGTGGAGAAGATGATTAGCAGAAGACATGGTAACCAGCTTGCCAACGCTGCACAAAACACCTGAACTAGTAATGGTAAAGTTAACGGGATAGTAACTTATTTTGACTTACTCTTTCAGGGGGGTGTACCTGTGGTGAGTCAACACATCATGGTAGAGCACATGTGGTGGACAACGCTGATCATCCCATGGGGGGCAGACAGCCAGGAGAAGGAGGAGAAAAAGGGACCCGAGTGCCAACATCCCTGTCAAGTGCTCACCCCTCATTACCTAACCTCCTTCCTCGAGGTCATATCTCTCTAAAGATTCCATTACCTCCCAAATGCGTCATAGGCTGGCGATCAACCCTTTATGTGTACTTTAGGGTACGTTGAAGGTCCACGCCATTACAGGAGCAGCCAGAGCTGTTGCAGTTCATTTCAACAGAGCACCACCAGATGAAGAAACAACACGTAAATAACTCAATCCACGATGGACAGAGATAACTCTGGAAACAAAGGGACAAGGTGCTTGGAGGCTGTAGGAGACGGTCATGAGGAAATCATGGCCTCTCCTTCCGCCCACTCCCTCCACGCCTACTCCCTAGGAAGGCAGATGTTGGCTGCCTGGTGGTTTTCACTCTGCGTACACAATGGGATTAGGTAACTTCGGAATGAAAGAGGATTAAACAAGGAGAGGCCCTAATGAAGTAAGCTTCCAAAACGTATTCCTGGGTGGGGAGAACAGAAAATATATAACAATGGCAAATATCAGTTCATCAAAGTGACTGCCTGTGAGCACACGCGTGGTGTGTGTGTGTGTGTGTGTACGCACGCGTGTGTGCCTGCGTACACATGTGTACTTCTTGTCTTCACTAAAAAGCATGGGTTGCGTTACTTATATCTTATTGAAAATTTCTCAATATATTCATTCCCAAGGAGTTTCTCAAATCTTTTGCTACTCACTGTCTTTATCAATCTGCCAAGGCAGTCAGACAAAGAAACATGTACATACATTCATTTTCAGCTGTACATTTAAGGAGAAAACAAGACTATCATGAATTTCCTTATTGGAATAAAGAAGCTTGTTAATAAGTTTATTATAAAAATAGTTACTGTTATGATAATTAGCAAACATTATCAAGTACCTTTCTCCTCTTCTTCATCAAAAGTTATATGAGATTTTAATTTTTTCAGGAAGAAACGACAATCCCACCTTGAAAACTTGAAAAGGTGGCTGGAGAGATGACTCAGCAGTTAAGAGCACTTGTTTTTGCTGGAGACTTGGGTTCGGTTCCCAGAACGCACATACGGCAGCTCCCAACCACTTACAACTCCAGTTCCAGGGGATCCAATGTCCGCTTCTAAGCTCTGTAGTCACTGCACATTCATGGCCCACAGACATACATAATCACAAAAATTAAAAAAAAAAACTTCATTTTTGTTTAAGAAAACTTAAAAAGCTTAAAACCCTAATTTATTTCATCCTTTCAACATGAGATCCATAGGTAGATCCCAGTTCCTAAAGCTGAGTGCAGATAGAAAAATGGTGAGTTAAGTTTTTACAGACATAGGTGATCATTAGTCCTTACCTGATGGGCAGTTTGGCTTCTTGTCCTGTGGGTTTTCACTGTCACGGTAACCTAGACACTTCCCAGAAGGGGTTTGGTGGGTTCATTAACATACTCTTGTGTTCTAGAGCACCATACATGGTTTTCCAACTTGACGTAGGAAACTTGGCTTCATGAAGAGGATCTTTCTCTCCGTGGTCATGTGGTTCCCAGGAGTAGACTTTTGTCCCCTCAGAATGAAGTTGCATCTATAAAACTGCTGTTCTTAGCCCTGAGCTCAGCAAGGACATGATGATTTGATTTTCAGGTTTGGTAAGCAGATGAATCATTGAGCCAATTTAGGCAATATCCACCTTCCTGTTTAAAAAGCAGGTGGAGGGAGACTCTCAAGATGCTAAATGAGACTTCACCTCCATTTTACGTACATACATGTGGTGAGCGTCATGGATGTGTCCTTAAAACTATGATAAGTAGAATGAAAAAAAAATCATTTGATGTGGACATAAATAAGTAGATATCCATTTTTCAAGTGGATACTTGTTTTGTTTTTTTTTTTTTGTTTGTTTGTTTGTTTGTTTGTCTGTTCGGTTTTTGGTTTGGGGTTTTGTTCTGATTCCATCTTGCTAAAACAGTGTGTTGCACACTCATCTACAACAGCCCTGAATCAGAGAGCCCAGCTCTGCCAAGCCTGGGCCCCAGCTCTAAGCTTTGCTGCTGAGATGAGTTCTTCCCTGTGTTGCGGGGCGACAGAGAATAGAGAAGTGGATGGGAACCTCTGCTGAGAGCCGGCTGGGAGCCATTCCT